ATTCAAAGCTACTAGAAGACATAGAGGCCTTCTCTCTCCCACAGGGACTCAAATGGTCATCGGCTAATCTGAGTGGTCGTCACTCCTCCGTAACATTTTGTGAAAAATCGAGCAATCCTAGGAATATAAATCAGGAGGTTCCACAGGGCGGTGTCCTTTCCCCATAACTGTTTAACTTTTATATTTAAAAGCTCCCTCAAGTACCACAGGGAGTCTCGATTGTCTCTTATGCTGACGATTATTCGATCATGGCGTCTGAGAATGGAATTGATGACTTGTGCTCGAAAGTAAACGGTTATCTCACCGAGCTTTTTCGCTTCTTCGCTGCACGGAGCCTAACCCTCTCCCCTGCAAAATCTTCAGCCACACTGTTTACCACCTGGACGAAGGAGGTCAGACTACAACTGGGAATTCACGTCGATGACGAACCACTTCCGACGGTGAACAGCCCGAAGATCCTCGGAGTAACCTTCGACCGTCTGCTCTCCTTCTCGGCGCATATAACCGCAATTGTCAAACAGAGTACAAAGCAGCAACAAGGTCTTCGAGTCGCTAGCCGGCAGCGCCTGGGGCAAAGACAAAGAAACGTTGCTGGAAACGTGCAAGGCAATTGGACGGTCGGATCTGAACTATGTAGCGCCCGTGTAGTCACCGGGAACTAGTGGGACGCAGTGGATGATGCTGCAGAATTGCCAGAGGTTCATCAAACAACCTCTGGACCCGACTGCTTATCCGACAGGCGTTGAACGGCATTTACAGAGATACAGTCTCGAGTTATGTAGACTCCCGACCTGTGAATGCCGTTCTGGGCACACAACCACCAGACGTGAACGAAACAGCACTTCGGCTGCGTCGGGAGACTCGGAACACAATAGCCCAACTGCGCTCTGTTTACTGCAGCAGGTTGAACTCATACCAGAGCATATTAAACGAAGATGTTAACGAATGCCCAGCATGCGGAGAGTCGCCCCATAACTCACAGCATTTCTTCGTATGACCTATGAATCCCATTTCACTAACGCCCCTGTCCCTATGGACAGACCCCGTCGAGGCTGCACGCTTCGCCGGGCTACCGCTAGTAGAGCTTGAAGACAATCAGGCAGGTTCTGCAATTCACTTCCGAGTGAATTTGAGTCGGATTCGCGTAGAATTCAAATTGGCAAGGTTTGAAATTCACTCGGAAGTGAATTGCAGAACCTGCCTGAATGATTGAGGGACTAACCAATCTATTCTAGAGTGGAATTCTAATTGGTTTCTAATCTAGTGTTTGGCTGACTTCCAAAACGTATCAGTACAATAGGAGTGTACTCGTATGCCCAACTATCTAAAGTTTTAGAAAACTTTTACTGGTTTTGCGTTCTCGTACTTCTGTTGATATTTCGTCTCTTTGAGAGCGAATGCTGCTAAATTCTCAGAACTTCTGCTGCTGGAGAATTTTGCCATCTCAATACGAGTACACACCTAATGTTTGGATACTGTTATATTGCGGTATTCAAACTGTTTGTTAATGCAGAGTTACGGGACATTGCAACCATAAACATTACATATTTTAAATATTCAATATAGCAACGAACAATTTTTCTGAATTTTCCATTTTTAAAACACAAATGGTAACCAATAACAAACGAAGCATCAACTTTGTTTATAATGCGCCAATTGCTCTAGCGATGCGTTTCGATAACTTTTCGGATGCGTTTTGGAAAAGTATACATCGTCAATATTTTGTGGTTCGGCGTTATGGAACATTATATTTTGTCATATATGTAATACTGTATGTATTACATATATGTATTTTGTACGTATGCAAAGCAATTGACGTTTTGGATGTCAGCCTTTTCTAATCATTCTCTAATCGCATTCTAACATACTTGTATGACCATCGAGAAATATTAGAGAACCACAGTACAATTATAATGAAAAACCAATTGTGTGGATGTGTTCAGAAATGCATCAAGCCAAAGCATCAGACGTATTTATTTCTACCTGTAATTGATGGAAATATGCAATATGCGCAACCACGGTTAAATGCCTAATTGGAACTTACCCTACAAGAATTGTGTGATGGAAGCTAACACATTCTCATTTATCTTACTAACACATATGCAAATTTTGCGTTGGTTAAAAAGAGGCCATAAAATAAGGTCATAAGTTGGAGGAAGACGGAAGAATTTGTACACAAATGTTTTCATCAGATTTTTCACGCTGCCTTTTAGAATTTGATAGAAACTTGTAGGTAGCCAGTGACAGAAATCTCTCATCAGTCTTGCCACTCAAATGATTTGTCAAATGATAGTCACTGTTCTTGTAGGGTAGTTTCGTAAATAAGGCATTTACATACATCAGTTATAATTTATAAGTAAAGGAGACTGATGCTCTGGCTTGATGCATTTCTGAACACATGGTGTGTTTGCTGGGTTATTGCTTATTTGTAACTAAAAGGCAAATAAACAGTTTTGTTAATAAATATTATAATTTATTCGCATAAATTTATGGAAATTTTTCATTGAATGCACATCAATCAATGTTACTAATTTGTTACTAAGAAAAACAAAATATTTTATTACACATACATACAAACTATGTACATATCTGACTTGAATCGCAATCATAAACCCAAAAGTAAAACACTGTAAGCATAAAATTGTCTGCATGTATTTTTAAGTATGAAGCTTCAGTAGAAAATTGATGCAATTGTGCTAAAACGCACTGACCTTTCCTACAAACATACCGCATGTTGTTTCAATAGTAAACATACCAAAGGGTTTTGAGAAATGCATTTCATATCCCAAAGCCGTGAAGACCGTTACGAAGAGCGTGTTATCCAAAATGTTCATCGACTCCAATCATATTTCGGTAAGAAAAATATCTTAGACAGCCTCTTTAACACATTAATACAAGCATCAGTGTTCTTTATTTCTAAACCAAGAGCACTTCCAAGCGAATTTCAACCTCTACCCTTTTTGAAGTCAAAGCGAATTTTATTGAAATCCACTTGGAAGTGAAATGCAGAAGCCGCCCCAATAGTTTTTTCATATTGCGCATATGTAAATGTAAGACATACGGGCAGTTTCTGCAATTCACATAAATTTTTTAAACCAAAGCCACTTCGAGTTCAAATTGAAGGGTTGAAATTCACTCGGAAGTGAAAGTAGTGAACTTGCCTTATTAAGAATCAACAGACCGATGCTTTGCATTAATGCGTTTTTAAGACATCCGTACTTGAAATTAAAAAAAAAAAAACGTAATATATTTAGATTGAAGAAAGCTAAATCGATTTTTATAACATAAATCTCCATTTATTCTATATCAGTCTTCTGGTATAATCGTCTATAGTATCCATGTTCCAATTACTTTCGACTTTTAATGTTAATGCCGGCCGCCAGTAATTTTACAACTGGAAGTGATACTTAAATAATGACAATTTTCGAATGTTCCACCGACATGCATATTTTCCAAAATTTTTGACATTTGTATGCTTAACAATGTTTTGCCTTCGAGTTTAAATGTATCTTATAACTAAGCTTTAATTATAACAATTTACAAATGTTACTAGCTCTAGCTAATGCTGATCTCTCGCAATCAAATTAACGGGGAGAAGTAACAATAAACGTTGTACATTAATTTAAATTAACCTAAATAGTTTTTCTGGACAATGGAAATACCAGTACTTCTTTAGTACATTTACTTGCGCAATTAACTCATCCCTCTCATTACTTCCCCCTTCATACCCGCCCAACTTAACTTATAACTACGGCGCCCGGTTAACTTAGTTTGGTAACACATCTGTCAACAGATCTTTTGTTACAGCCGGCAGACTGTCGGGGAATTTTATATCAAACGCCACCAGCAAGTCACCTCGTCTCGTCGGCTCCTTTGGGAAAGGCAACCCTCTGCCTGAGATACGTTTAACTGTGTTAGGCTTAATGATTTCTCCCTGGGAATTGACCGTAATTCTATCGCCTTGTAACGTCGGCACCTGTACAACAGTGCCACAAAGGGCTTGTTTCAAACTGATATTAGCATTGTATTTGATATCGCTGCCTTCACGTTTGAATAATGGGTGCGGCTTGTCCCGTATGATGAAAATTATATCTGCCGGAACTTTTCCAGGGGTTTGATCACCTTCCTTTTGGAAGGTAATCTTTGTGCCCGCCTTCCAGCCGGGTTTCACAGTTATATTCAAGACTTTTTCTTCCTTGCGCGGCTGCCCTGTTGTCATCGACATGCGCGAGATCTTCATCTTTTTTACACAGCCTTTATCGACCTCCTCCAGAGAGACGTAAAGATCGTGTTCGATAGGTGGATCTTGAATCTGTCTTTTGCGGTTGGGTTGGGCGTTGAAAGATTGCGAGCGGAAAGCACCGCCGCCGCCCATTTGTGAGTAGATATCATCGTCATTGCCAGCAGTCATGAATATATTCTGCGAATCACCAAACATTCGGCTGGGATCGCTTGAACTGAAGAAAATGCCAAAAGGATCTGACGAACCAAAGAACTGAGCAAATGTGGCGCGCGGATCTCCATGGAACTGGTATGAATTGAAACCACCACCCTGCTCACCGGGACCACCAGGTACACCACCCTTCAGGCCTTCTTCACCATGTTGATCGTAGATGTCCCGTTTCTTCTTGTCTGACAACACTTCATACGCCTCGGCAATCTCCTTAAATCGCTCCTCGGCCTGCGGTGTTTTGTTCTTATCTGGATGGTACTTCAACGCCAATTTACGATAGGCCTTCTTAATTTCATCGTCATTGGCACTTTTGTTAATACCGAGGATTTTATAGAAATCTTTGCCCATATCGATATATACTTAATTCTCTTGTAGAGCTGAAATGAAATCATTAAACAAAACCACAAGTACAATTTGAGTAAAATTTAGTACATAAAAAAAAAACCAGATAAATAAAACATGACAAAAACGTGCTTAACGGGACATGTTCCATAAAATGTAAGCTCTTTCAATTGCCAAAAAAAAACATAAGATTTATATGTACACATTAATATGCGTGCATTCCTAAATGCATCAATACAAAAAAAAAAAAAA